AATCCTGGAGTGAATTGTTTGCAGCATTCTTGAGACCTGCGTCAAAAGCAACAGCGGCCTTTTTGATCATCAGTTCCGTTTTCGAAAGGCGCGCCCAACAGTGGAGGCAATTGGCAAAGTGGTGAGCATTGCTAGAGAGCCATTTCAGGAGCACGCTGGAGTAGTGGCACTAAGAAGTACTGCACCGTTGTGACCTTGGATATTAAAAACGCCTTCAACGCAGCGAGGTTGAGCTGCATTCTAAATACCCTTCATGTCCTGGAAGTCCCAGTGTACATCAGGACAATCATCAGCGATTACTTCAAAGATCGAGTCCTGTTGTACAACACACATGACGGTCCGCGGAGTTATGACGTGACGGGTGGTGTTTCACAGGGGTCGGTTCTGGGTCCCTTACTTTGGAACATCATGTACGATGCGGTACTGAGATTGGAGTTACCACATGGCGCGGAGACCATTGGCTTCGCTGACGACGTGGCGCTCGTCGTCGTGGACAAGCACCTGGAGGACGTTACCCTCGTGGCCAACAGCTCCATCGCGATAATTCGCCGGTGGCTGTCTTTGGTCGGGCTGGTCCTGGCCGATCACAAAACTGAGGCAGTGCTGATTACCAGCAGGAAGACACGAGAGACCATCACCCTCAGAATGGGGAGACATGAGATCCAGTCCGGGCCACACCTGCGGTACCTCAGCGTATGGATCGACGCGCGTCTCCATTTCTACAAACATCTTCGACTCGTTGGTCAGAAAGCGGATGGTGTGATCTCTGCCCTGACGCGCATTATGCCGAACACCGGTGGCCCCAGGCAAAGCAGACGGAAGCTCCTCGCGACCGTGGTTAGCTCGACCCTGCTGTATGCAGCGCCCATTTGGGCCAGTACCCTGGCAACAGCGGCATACGCCAGGAGGACCATATTCGTCTACCATCGGAGTGCTCTGAGAGTGGCCTGTGCGTACCGCACGGTGTCATATGACGCCGTATGCGTAGTAGCAGGAATGACGCCTATAGAGATTTTGGGCGAACGAGCACCGTCGGATCTACTACCAGAGAAGACACGGCTCACGAACAGAAGCCCTCGCTGCGCTGGAAGAAGAGAAGATGGAAACGATGAGACAGTGGCAAAACCGCTGGGACGCAACGCTGAACGGTTGGTGGACCCGCCGTCTTATCCCACGGATCAGCGAGTGGGTGTCGAGGGTTCACGGAGAAGTGGACTTCTTCGTGACTCAGATGCTGACGGGGCATGGATGCTTCAGAGCGTACCTGCACCGATTTAAGCTCAATGACGACCCGACGTGTCCCACTTGCCCAGGGCAGGAGGAGGATGTGCAGCACGTGATTTATAACTGCCTCCGATTCTCAGGAGAACGAGACCAGCTGCAGGAAATCCTGCAACAGCGCCTGACACCTGAGAACACCATACCACTGATGGTGACCACGGAAGACAGATGGGCCGCAATTGCGACGTACGCTGCCCGAGTCATGCGACGCCTCAGAATTGAAGAGCGAGAAGTATAAGCCAACAAATGCGTAAAGGAGGAGGGCTAGAATAGCCCCGCCACCCCACCTAACGAAGTAATGCCTGCGTAATGTTCCGTAGGTGGGGCGAGGGACGTAGGGTTTTAGTGGATATGGGTCCCACACGAATCGGCCCGGATATGAGAGTCTGGGTCGATGGTGAGTAAATGCATTTCAACCGTCGTTAAAAAAACACTTACACACTTACACACACACTTACTTACACATACATATATACACATTTACACAATATATCTAACAGACATAGCGAGCATAACAGAGACGCACCTAAACAATAGTAATAAATTTCACATCCCAGAATACAAAATTTATAGAAATGACAGAACCGAACATATAGGAGGAGGTGTACTTATAGCAGTCAGGAATTATATAATCCATCATGAAATTTATGTACCAAACATCACAGGAATTGAAACAGAACCAATAATACTAATAGTAAACAATGAATCATGGAATATAATAATTACCTCCATCAATAAAAATACAACCCCAAAATATATTTATTATATTTATTTATTATATTTATTATATATTCACTCGAAACAAAAAAAATTAATACTAGGCGAACTAAACGCTAAACACAAACTGGGGATGTCGCACTTGCCACCAAGCAGGAAAACAGGATCACAAATTTTAAACAATACCACCATCAACATACTATCGCCTCCTGAACCAACTTACTATCCAAGGGACGTAACTAAGCAACGAGACATACTTGACATAGGACTGACTGACGACATTTTTAGTCAACTCCGTATCACGAACTCGACTCTGACCATCTTCCGGTAAATATACTTACTCGACAAAATTCACAACACAAACTCTAAAGAAATAAAACAAATCATTAACTCTCTCCCGATAAAAAAAAGCACCAGGTCATGATAATATCAATAATTCGATACTAAATCACTTACGAGCCCCCGCAATTGCATACTTAACAAATACATACAATTCGTACTTGAGAACAAATCATTTCCCATCACTTGGAAGCATGCCATTATTCTTCCGGTTCCGAAACCAAATAAACATTCAGCCAACACCGACAGCTATCGACCGATAAGCCTTCTACCATCTCCATCTAAAATTTTCGAAAAAATAATGCTCCAACGACTTAAAAAGCACCTACAAATAACAAAAGCAATCCCAAGAAAGCAGTTTGGATTGACTGATCATATGTCCACACAACACCAACTCCTCAGAATCACAACACAGCATTTCAGAAATAATAACATCTCTCAATACTCATATCACTCCACGTAACACAGGCATTTGATAGTCTGGCACCAGGCACTAATATACAAATTAAAGAAAATAGGCACTACACCTCAGTAATCCAAAACTACTTATCCAACAGAAACTTTGCAGTAACAAACAACAACTATTACTCAAATCCCAGATTAATCAAAGCAGAATTACCACAAGGATCCCCCCTATCACCCACCCTGTTTAATCTCTATGTCGCAGACATCCCCATAGATAAAACAGTAAAAACAGCACACTTTGCAGACGACACACTTATTTTCTCTTCCAGATACTTTCTAATCAATATTAAAAAACACATACAATTGTATCTAAACCCAGTAGACAGTTGGTTATCCAAATTAAAAATAAAATTAAACCCAAACAAAACTGCAGCAAAAATATTCACTTTAAGACCATACACTTCACTAATCCAATTGACATTAAATAATGAGCCCATCCCATCGTACCCACCAAATAGGCCAATAAATATCTTGAATTGCACATGGGCACCCAATTGAACAGGAAACAACACGTAGATGTCAAAATAATACAAACTAAAAACAAACTACATAAATTAAAACATTAATAAATAGGAATAATTGCCTCATAATACCCGCCGCTAATTGCCTATAATACGCTAATTGCCTATAATACAAAACAGCAATAACTTTATTCAAAACAATAATCAGATCTACTCTTATCTACGCCTGCCCAGTATGGATCAATGCTGCAAAAACGACAACAAAATTCAAATAGTACAGAACCAATTCCTCCGTGCAATCACTAATGCATATTGGTTCATATCTAATCATCAATTACACAGTGAATTCAACTATGTGCCCAGAGGCCTGCGTTTATATATTTTATTTGTGCAAAGAAATGCCAAAGAAGAAATCATTAAGCACTTATTCACAGAGTTTTGTTTTCAAAAAACTTCATTTGAAGTCATCTGATGCACGATAACTCACAAATACAATTGTGCTTACAAATTGCTGGAAATGTGCATATTACCTGCATGATAGATCTTTCATAAAAATCACATTTGTGTAACTTTGGAAAAACAAAATAAATACTCCGAAATGAACTTTACCTCATATCAAAGAGTGAAGTTAGGACTATCCTTTCGAAAAGTTTGAAGAAAAAGTTTAAAATGCAAAATTTTGAGTTAGTTTTGAGTTTTCGAAAAGATTTGTATGACAATATTTAAAGCACATTTACTCATAAATATAATAATGTGAACAATTTGCCGCTAGTGTAAATATATACGTGAGAGAGAAGTAAAAAAAATATCTTTTTTATTTTTGAAAAAGAGAAAAGAGCAGTAAGGCGTTTATGTCACCTTATAGAGTGTATTTAGTCCAATCCCTACCAAAAGTTTAAAGAAAAACTTTGGAGTCGTGTTTGAGAAAATATTTTTTGTAATTTTTTAAAATTGCACAAATTGCATGCAATATTGCGCGAAAACTACTAAAATTTTCAAAAAGTTTACAAGATCTTAATGAAAGAACTAATTATCGACAACAAATTTCATTTCAAGGAAAAATCTATATCTTTAATTTTGTATTTGTAGGAAGGCCCCGAAAAAATTCAAAATTTGAAATTTTTGGAAGATCACAATTAACTATGAAAGTTGAACCTATGGCACCTTTATATGTGTATTTTACTCTATTCTTACAAGAAAATTGAAGAAAACATTTGGAGGAATTTTTGAGAAAGTTTTGAAACTGTCCCAGGGGCTCTATGTAAAGTACCCCTTACAAAACTAACGAATGATTTGTAAAATCGCCGAGATTCGACTCAGGGCAAATAGACAGGGGTTTCTTCAATTTGGAAAAAATCCTACGCATGGTATAAGCGCTAGTGTTGTTTACATACACAAGATGGACAGACGGACGGACAGACGTTTCGAAGACTTTTTCGGTATCAGGGGACCCCAAAAGGTGTATTTCCGTTGAAATCTCGAAATCGATTTTCCGCAGCATTACATAACTTTCCGTATTACGCACATTTTATGTGTACGTATACGGGAAAGTAATATGAATGTGTGAATTGTTTACTACTTACATGTATCCCGTACGTACCACAGGAGAAGAATCCTCAAGCACAACCACTGAGGAAAGTCTGAAGCCATCTATTCTGTTTTTCCCTTCTTCCTCCAAGGAGCTTTCACCCGCGAGTCGGGAGCATGCATGAGAAACCGGTCGTTGGAATCGTTTACGGTCTCTGCGCCTCATCCCCCAGGCGGGTCTTTCTGCCTGCGCCAGGTGTGGCTGCTCGCTTTGGACGCCTTGTTCCTACTAGCGCGGCAGACGCTCGCAAGTCCTCGCTGTCGAGGCGGTCATTGCGATGCGATAGTATCACGAGGCATGCGGCTCCGGGAGGGACAGGCGGCATTGCGACCACTGACGGCTCGCAGGCGCCAAGGCGTCCTCTTATAGTCGCGCCCGGGTTTCTTGCGAGCTGACGTAAGCCGATGGCTCGAAAAGCAGGGGCTATCACGAGCTTAGATCTACTATCAGTTGGCAGCTGTGGCAAAAAAAAAGCTCGGGGCGAAATTCTAGTTACCCGTTAGGACTGTTATTCGCGAGTTCTGACACTCCGTATGCAGGCTGACCACAAATAGAAAGTTATTCTTATTAAAAAGCACGTTTTTCCTATTGGGGTTAGTTGGAAAATAGTTACCTAAATTGCAGTATACGCTTCAGTTAGGGATAATTTATGTCATGTTTTCCTGTTCTAGTTCCAAGTGTTAAAGAAAGGTGCGCAACTCTTCGCAGACTTACACAAGAACGAGAAAATTGGTAACATTGAGTTCCAAAAATGATCAAATAATTTAATGTGACGTGAATTAATTGGATGTTAAATGGCAGCAGAAGAAGTATTTGTAAATGTCTTGTCAAATTACGGTTTTAATGGATTAACCACAATGTCACGTACAACGTTCTAAGTTTTAGTGCATTGTGCACTACGTGATATCGGTATTAACGTATCATTTATTACATGGTCCAATATTGTTTTTCCTTTGTGGAAATATTTTGTCCTCCCTAGTGTGTTTTGCTAGTTGTTGATATTTTTGTTTTGTTTGCTATGGAAACTGATATTATGCAGTATTTCTCAGTACCAAGCACGAAAACATGTAGCACGAAAATATACAAGATGCAATTAATACATATCCCCACCAGAGGTTTGAGATTTTTAAAACATTGGGCTGATAAAATTTAATAAACTACGTGTAAGTGATTAAGTTGATGATTAAAAATAATGTGCTTACTTAAGGTAATTAAAAAAATCATAAATTAATTAAAGTAAAGGTACCCCTTTAAACTTGGAAATGCTAAACATGCATTTCATATTTTAATATGTTAATACATTTCTTGTTGATGCGGCTTCTATTTCCAAATCAAAAATTGATTTGAAATCAAATAGTGATTTTTTAATAAGTATAAGTATAGTAGAAATCTTAATATGTATGTACTTCATATGTCAAAGATACCAATTTAGCGATAAGAATGCAGAGGAATAAAAACACGTGCAATTACCTGGTTCATTTAAGTAGGAAATATTTTCAATCAGAAGCTGAGTTCTGTAAGCTTTGTTGTGCAGCTAGTCCAGGCGTTATCTTACGGCAGCTACATTCAAGGCTCAAGTACGTCATAGATGAATGTTGCAATAACGCTAGACGGGCAGTAATCAGTCGGTCTATAAAATAATACATACCTTGTATAAGGAACCAGGGGTGCAATAAAAGCACGTACTTCCTGGCACTTTTGGAATTAGTTGCTTAATACTGTAATATTGGATTTCTGTCCTATTAGCACCTCAGCTATTATTTGAAAGTTTTCAATTCAACAAATTCAAACTAATCACCACTGGTGAATTTTATAGATCTGCATTTATTTCGATTACCAGGAACAGTAGACTTTTCTCCCCTTTATGAATAAAAAAACAGAAATAAAATTAACTTTTACAATATATGCAGCACATAATGCAGAAAAGCAAGAATAACGTCACACAAGCGTTCCTTGACTACATTGAAGTGAGCTTTTTTAATTTTTTTTAATTTTATTTATTTTTCATTCGGAAGTACATAGTTCAGTTACATCACTTTTTCATATGTATTGTATGACTTACAAATATTTTATTACCTATCCAAAAACTAACTCTAGCTACAGGAAGGGTAGGAAGCTACAATCTGCACCTACTATTCACAATTGTTGGAAAATATGTTTAGGAAGGCATTTAAAGGGTAACGGTTTTTTATTCGTGTTAGAGTAGAGTCTGTTGAGGCGAGGTTGTATTGGCTGATGTGTGGTATAGAATTGATATTTTTAAAATAAAATTATTGGAGAGATGGGTTATGTATTTGATGATGGATTTTATACTCATTCTTTTTGTAGTTCTTTGTTGGATATAAACCATGGTGCATGACTTGCTAAACGGAGAAACCTATTTTGTATTATTTACAGTTTATTTATGGTTGTGGCTGATGCGTTTGTCCATACGTAGAGCACCAGACAGCTCGAAGTCAATTATTGAATAGAACTAAGAAATGAATCATTTGCACATAAATGTACGTCACTAAAGCAACTGCAACAACACAACTATTGATCTGCAGAGCTAGTAAAGAAAACATAAACGCCCACAAATTAAATACCCTATAAGGAAGAAAGATGAACGTGGCAAGAAGTGCAATAGAGAAAAGGAACGATTTGCTGAAATTCTCTTCCGTATTTGAAACCTATAATTCCTTGGACAATGCAATTGAGAGAAGTACTTCGATTTAATATGCTCCTGTCAATTTTCGCTCCCAACGCAATTCTTTTTCTCTAATGAAATAAGAGAAACGTATTACAGCGTTTATAAATCCTAACAAAAGCCCAGGTTACGACCTACTCAAGGCAGTTTGGCAGGAATTATCCAACGAATGCTATTGATTTATACCTTGCTCTTCACTGCGATTCTCGACTCACAATTTCCTGGAACAATGGGAAGATAGATACAGATCATAAGCGATACCTAAACAGGGAAAACACGCTAATCGATGTATATCTTATCGCCCAATAAGCCTTCTTTCCATCTTATCAAGGTATCGAAAAATCTTACTCCAACGTTTAAACCTCTTCTGAAGAAATAATCCGAGATAATCATTCGGATTTAGAGACAACCTCAACATCGAACAAGCGCCCCGAGTTGTTGAAGTTATTACTCAAAGTGCTCGGAAAGGAAAATGCTACTGCGCAGCTGTAATTTCTTGATATACAACAAGCTTTCGACAAGGTATGGCAACGAAGGGACTTCTGTATAAAATTAATACTACTCTGCCCCATGCGTATTACTTATGATGAAGTCATATCTATCTACAGACATATCAAATTAAATATCAAGAAGATTATCATCTTCACGCCATTAAAATCAGGCGTCGCCAAGGCAGTGTGCTGGTCGCTGTTTTATACCTTATATACACATATGATTTGGCAACAAATGAAAGGACTACACGACTGCAACTTTGCGGTCGACACAGAATTTTGGCTGTGCATGGAAGAACCATTCCAGCATCACAAAATCTCCAAGAGCATCTGAACCAACTTGGAAAATGGGTAAAGATGGCGTATTCAAGTAAATCGCATCAAATCTAAAAATATCATTTTACCCTATCCAAAAAGGAGTGTCCCTAAGTACAGCTAACAATGTATACTAGCACAACTATCTTGCATTAATACCTTAGGATTTCATATGGACAAACGGGCTTACATGGAGGAACATATACTGCAAAGAAGAAGAAGCCAAATCAGATTCCTGCCAATTATCATGGCTGCATCAACCGGGCCACTCAAACTTTTCTTTAGACAACAAGTACTCCTCTACACAAATCAATAATCAGGCCTATCTGGAGGCTACGGAATTTCAACTCTGGGGGATCCGCTAGCAAGTCAAACATTGAAATCTCAGAAGATTCGAATAAATGCATTAGAAGACTTAGCAGATGGCCGTGTACGTAAGAATGAAACACTACGTCGAGACCTCAAGATCCCCTAATATATGAAGAAATCATCAGCATAACACACCTCCAAGAGCGGTTAAACAAACATCCAAATCCATCAGCATCAATTATTGGATAATAGCGAGGAGTACACCCGACTGAAAAGATACATATTCTGGAATTACATTCCGCTTCAACACCACATGACGATGTACTCTGCTTTCATTAATGCATAATTAACCACATTTACTGATGTTTGTAAGAAAACAGATTGTAAATAACAGAATAATAATATAATAAATAAAATAATAATATAATAATAATAATAATAATAATAAAAAAAAACTTTCCCTTGAGGTCTTGATATTTTTCTTCCTAGTAATAGATGGTAGAGTAATGATTGAAGATTCTTAAAGACAATGGAAAATTTTTTTGTTTGCTGGGTCTTTTAGTACCGTGTGGAATTTTTCTGTTAGTGCTATTAGATATTTTTATTGCCTGCCTAAGTCCGAGATAAGTTTTTTAAAAAGCAAATTTTGATTTTGTGTATCTGACAATGGTTGAAGTAAACTGGTTTGTTATTGAAATCTAAGTTCTTATTAATTCTGCACATTTCTGGAATATGGCTACTAAGATGGGTGGTATTTTCTATTTAAATTTGTGTGGGTATTATTTTGTTCATTTATGATAGAACCAAATTGTTCTCTGTCCTCGCGCATCGTCACTGTTGTTCGCGGGCTCAGAGTATCTGTTCCTTAAGGTACATTGTATTGAAACTCGTGGGTTTTTTTTTAAATTACACTCGTAATTGTTACTGGCTCGCGATTCATTTTCTTATATCTCGGAATCACTTTCACTATCAATGACTGACCTTTTTCGCTGCGCCTGGAGCGTTGTTGATGGTGGGAGTGGTGACGACACGTAGACCCTGGCTGAGGTGGCAGGGTTCGTGCTGTCTCGGTGCTGGTTGGAACTGGCGGGTGCAGCGAGGCTTTTATCATGGCCGCCGCTTGCTGGTATTGGCTGTATTGGTGAAACGACACCGTGTGCCTGTTGTGGAGATGGCAGGCCTTCAGATATGTTTTGGCCCTGTTGTGCTGGATTAATGGCATACGATCATTTACTTGTCTTAGCTAGTTGTGGAATCAGAGCTGTTTGTAGACGAACACTATAGTCACATCGGTTGCCTCAACGTAAGATAAGAGCTGCATCGAAACGATGCGTTCGTCTCG